AAAAAAAAAAAAAAAAAAGGAAATACAGAACATAGCTTGATTGTGATTCAGATAAAGAACTTTCTGAAGAACAGCAATGACATGGCCTCACAGGAGAGATAAGGGGAAAGAAATTACCAAAGTGCCAGGGTCTGTGCTTTATTAGTGGGACAGGCACGACACACTATGCCTGCAATTCTGCTAGCTGCCTCCAGGTGGGATGATACCTTCAGCCATTAATGAAAATGAATCCCACAAAAAAAAAAACTCATCTGGTCTGGGATTTAGCTCAGTGGTTCTCCACCTGCCGCTACTGTCCCCCCCCACCCCCTCCCCCGTAAGTGCAAGGATCCGAGTTTGATCCCTGGTATAAAAAACAAAACGAAACAACACCTCATCTGAGTGGTGCCAGAGACCTAACATGGGAGTGGACACAGGAGCATGAATAGGAATAGCATGTAAAGCCTGGATGTCAGAGAGTTCAAGAGTTCACTAGGAAGAAGGGCTCCATACCTTCCTGAGGATGTTCTAGGGACCCAAAACCATCACCTAAAATGTTACTGGTAGCTGCCTAAAATCACTACCTTTGCTACATGGCTAGGAAGCCACCTTTTCTTCACCTAAAACTATCTCCCCAAGGAGAACTGCTCCAGGGAGTCCAGCTGGCAGTCCCTCTCCTGGGCCAGATGACAAAGGCCTGCCCTCTCCCACACAGGCAGGGTTGTGAGAGGGGAGGACAGTGGGGTCACATGTTACATGGGCCCACTATAGGGTAAGAGGGGTCCAGACTGAGGGAAGAACAAACTTGGGACATCAGGGGGACGGAGTGGGTTCCTGGGGCCCCAGAAGGACAGTAACAAGATCACCTAACTTCAGCTGGGTGTGATAGTTTATAATCCCAGCTACTCGGGAGGCTGAGGCAGAAGAGTAACAAGTTCTAGACCAGCTCTGGCCACTTAGTGAAATCCTGTCCCAAAATAAGATAAAAAGGGCTGAGGGGGTAGCTCACTGGTAGAGTCCTTGCCTAGCACAAAACCCTGGGTTCGATCCCCAACAGAAGGAAAGAAAGAAAGGAAGGGAAGGGAGAAAGAAAGAAATTAAGAAAGACAGACAGACAAAAGCCGGGGGTGTGGTGGCATGCCTGTAATCCCAACACTCAGGAGGCTGAGGCAGGAGGATCGCTGCAAGGTCAAGACCAGCCTGGGCTACATAGTGAGTTCCAGGTCAGTCTCAACTACATAGTGAGACCCTGTCTCAAACCCCCCCCCAAAAAAAAAGAAAGAGAGATAAGAGGAAAGGAAATTTTAAGAAAAGATCATCCAACTATATTCATTTTTCCTTTCACCCTCAAGCATATTTGATCAAACAAAAAAAGCAAGAATTTATTTAAGACCAGGCATGGTGGCACACACCTGTAATCCCAGCACTCAGAAGGCTGAGGCAGGATTGCCATGAGTTTGAGGCCAGCCTGGGCTATACTGTGAGTTCAAACAACAACAAAATTTGAGAGAAAGGTGGGGGAGGGGAGGTAAAGAAAGCTTTTTGTTGTTTTGAATTGATTTTGAGAAAAAGAGAAAAAATGTCTGTAGGATCTCAATTGCTGTGTGGGTTTTAGAGAGTCTGTATATAATAAAATATATTTTAATTTATTTTGTTTTTTTTATCTATAGATAAGATTAGAGGAAGTGTATGTAAATTTGGTATGAGTAAATAAAGGTAATATCTTAGGATTTTTATTAAGATAGGGCATCCTGAGTCTGTATAACCAACGCAGGATGCCAGACATGTCATAAACCAGACCCCCTAAGGGATAGCAGGAAACTAACCCCCTGCCCCCCTTACTGTGCTTACAATCCTTTCCACTAGTCTTCACAAAAGTGACTCCATGCTAATAGGCCAGACTGTGCTTCTTCATATACTAATTACTACCTTGATTAACAGCCCACCCAGGGGCAAATGCTTTGACAAAAGATGACCCTAAAACATTTCCTACATAAGATAAACAATGTATTTACAATCTTATTCTATAAATTCCCTGACTCTTTATTTAAAAAACCTTATAAAAAATACCTCAGCCCCTGAGCAGTTGCCTCTCTGAGCCACCTGGCTCCGGGAGTGCCGTCTGGCCAGACTAATAAAGGTCTCTTTTACCACCTAGGCTGGTGTGTTCCTTCCTGGGTTTCTCGGTTCTCTATCATATTCCCAGAGCCTCGCTGGGTGTTAGGGCCCAACATCGTGGAGGCCTTTCGGCTATTCACGCTCCATAGAGTGGAAGTGAGACTTTAGGTCTTACATATTGGAGGCCCCAGCGAGATACCCAGGCGGGAACTGTAAATCCGGCCGAGAGTCTCTGTTGCGGGATCCAGCAGGAGATTCTCAGACACAGACCTTTGAAAGCCTCCGGAGGTAAGCTTTGTGCTGGCGGTTGCAACTGTCTGTATGTCAGGATCGAGGTGGCTGACGAGCTGGGAAACCTCCCACCCTGACGAGCTCCGGGTAGTAGAAACAAAGCTTTTCTTTTTGTGTGGCGCCTGTCTGTCCTGTCAGTGTCTTGTGTGTTGAGTATTAAAACTAAATTTGTTCCTAGGGTCAAGATGGGAGGATCTAGTTCCAGGAACACCCCATTGGACTGCTTTCTCACTAATTTTAAATTGGCTTTCTCTCCTGAGCAGGAAGATGAATATGGAAGAAAGTTTTCTCCAGGGAAACTCCGGGCCCTCTGCAAGCTGGAGTGGCCAGCCTTCGGAGTAGGCTGGCCAGCTGAAGGCTCTTTTGAACCGAGACTTTATTGGGCGGTATGGGAAAAGGTCACCGGACACCCTAGCCATCCCGACCAATTCCCTTATATAGACATCTGGGCCCGGGCCTGCGACAGGCCTCCAGCATGGTTGCAATGCTGCTCCTTGCGCACCAGTTCTCATATTCTGGTGATGACACCGAGTGAAATAAAAACCTTAAGGCAACAGACACCCAGGCCGGTCCTCTCGCAGGAGCCAGACCCCTTAGAGCCTAGTGACCCCGGGATGAGACCCCCTTCCTATGCGGAATCACCCTCTGGGGAGAAGGGAATCAAGCCTATCTACCCGCCCCTTCCAAGGGAGGGAGAAGTTCCAGATTCCACAACCTCTCCCTCCCGCACCCGAGGGGGCTCTGCCTATGGACCCCCAGAGGCACCCCTGGGGGGACGGGATCTGGTCCCTGTGTGTCCATTGAGGGAGATAGAACAGGGTCACTACGTATACATTCCTTTCTCTACGAGTGATTTATATAACTAGAAACATCAGAATCCCCCATTCTCCGAAAAGCCGCAGGCCCTAATTTCCCTTCTCGAGTCTGTGTTTAATACTCATGACCCCACCTGGGATGATTGTCAACAACTTTTACAGGCCCTGTTCACATCTGAGGAGCGAGAAAGGATCAGAGGACATGCTGTTCGATCGGTGCTGGGGGGTGCCGAGGGCCCCATTGATGGCCAACAACAGGCCCGAATTGACGCTCAACTCCCCTCCACCCGTCCTCAGTGGCAATCAAACTCCACGGGAGGTAGGGAAACTCTTCACAATTACCGTCAACATCTCCTGGCCGGCCTTAGGGGAGCCGCTCGCAAGCCTACCAATTTAAATAAGATAAGCGAGGTCCTTCAAGGGCCAGAGGAATCCCCATCTGCCTTCCTGGAACGTTTGCTGGAGGCATATCATACATACACTCCCATTAATCCAGACACACCAGCAAACAGGCAGGCAATTAATCTGGCTTTTACAACTCAGTCGGCCCCAGATATTCGGAAAAAATTACAGAGGTTGGAGGGTTTTGAGGGAGAAAATCGAGAAAAACTAATAAACATAACAATAAAGATATTCACAAATAGAGAACCACTTGAGGATAGAATGGCTAAAAAGATGGAAAAGACAAATGTTATGACATTGAGGGAAGAAGAATATATAAAAAAGGAGAGAGAGAGACGAAGAAATAAGGGAGAGAGATAACAACGGATAGATAAAAATCAATATACATACTACAAAGAAAGAAGACATTATAAAAAAAAATATAAAAAATAAAAAAGGAAAAAGGAACAGAAAAAAAAACAAGAACAAAAAAAAAAAAAGAAAGAAATCTTATTCACAGGAGAAGAAGAAGACTGACGGGGCCAAGGCTCATGGCCACTTAACCCCGATGAGCCTATGATAACGTTAAAAATAGCGGAAACAGATGTTGACTTTCTCATAGACACTGGAGCGGCCCATTCAGTCCTCAAAGCTCCCCTCGGGGCACTTTCTTCCATGAAATCCACTATTACTGGAGCCACCGGACAACCTGCCTCTTATCCTTAGACAACATCACGAACCATAAATCTGGGAAAAGATACTGTGACCCACTCTTTTTTAGTTATTCCTGAGTGCCCCTATCCTTTACTGGGAAGAGATCTACTGAAAAAATTAGGAGCTGTGATTTCTTTCAATCATAAAGGGGGAAATTTAAAACTCAAGTCGCCACCCACTATCATGATAACAGTCCCTTTAGAAAAAGAATTCAAACTAATTGGAGAAGAGGGAAAATCTCCAGAACAAAAATGAGACTATCTGCGGGAAAAGTTTCCCCAGGTGTGGGCGGAGACAAACTTGCCGGGACTAACAAGACACCAAGTCCCAATAATAGTTCAAGTGAGGGCCTCTGCCTCCCCTGTGCGAGTGCGACAATACCCTCTCCGTCTGGAAGCTAAGATAAAGATATCCCAACACATCCACCGACTTCTGAAAGCTGGGATATTGATTCCATATCAATCAGCCTGGAACACACCGTTACTGCCTATAAAAAAACCTAGAACT